TATATATATATATCAGTTTTAGTAATATATAGTAGTTTTAGTTATATATTTTTAGATATATACAGTAAAGTTTCTTTAATTTACTTTACATTTTAATAAAAATAAATAAAGAAATTTAAATCCTTCTACTTATTTATTTTCCCGCATAGAATATTACTCAATATAACTAGATATATTAAATTTTTGTAATATAACATTTAAATTAAAAAACCACATATAAAGATTAATAAAATTATATAAATTAATAATTATAATAATACCGCTTGAACATATTTAGCATCGTCAGTTCTTCGTACGAGTGGCCACCAAGCTTTGATACGAGAAACTTTAAAAAGATTCACCGTTGGCAATTTAGTATCGAGCACTTTCATTGTACACGTTTTTGAATTCGCACTACCACGTGGCATCTTTGACAAGTCTAATGTCAGTGCACCTTAAAAAAAAAAGAACATAAAAAAAAGGTAAGAATAACGATCTTCCCGTTAAGGGTTGGAAATGTAGAATAACCCCGAGGTATACCCTTCCTGTCATAAAATCCGACTAAAAGGAATTTTTTTTTCCTTAGGTCACAAGTGGAAACGATGATATTTATCGATAATAATAATAATAATAATAATAGTAATAATAATAATAATAATAATAATAATATCAACCTGCTGACATCTTAGAAATATTTTATGTGAAAATCGTTCGATCAATTTTTGAAGAAGAAAAAAAATGAAAGGAAATATGAAATGAAATACGAACGATACGAATACAAAATTATAAACAAAATAATAATGAAATATTAAGGATAAATTATTTTAAAAATAAAATATAATAAAATGATATTACCAAGAAAATCGTCTGAGGAAAAATGATCGCTGTCCCAAACTTCTAAATTTAATCTGCAAGGAAGTTTTTCCTCGGTCTCGCTTCTCGCAAATACGGATAATTTCTTACGAACGATCATAACGTTTTCGCTTTTAGAATATACCAGACGAAAGACGAATCTCCAATTAAAATTACCTTCGCCGCTTAAAGAATTGTAATGAACGTCTGTCTTTTGTCGGTCTTCTGGAAAAATCCAACTAAAAAAAAATCGATAATGAAATTTAAGAATAAAGTTGAAGAATTAGAATAAGTATAAGATGAGAAGAAAAAGTAAAAGAAGAAAAATCAGATGAGAATAAGACGACGACAACGAAGAAAAAGAAAAAGAAAAAGAAAAAGAAGAAGAGGAAAATGAGAAGAAGACGAAGATGAAGAAGAAAAAGAAAGAAAAAAAATGAAGAAAATGAAAAAAACGAAGAAGATAAAGAAGAAGAAGAAGATGATGAGAAAAAGAAGCAAGAAGGTTAAGAGAATAAATCATTAAACTATTTAGTAAGAATTTTAAAATTAGACTTTAAAAATCAGCCGATTAATATATAAAATAAATTACCCTTTAACATAAATATCCGATGACATTTCTCCCGTGAGAAATTGACTTTCAACCAAGGGTACATCTTCGGTATTCCAAACTATCACTCGAATTTCATATTCCTCTGGTACTAGGGGAGAAATATTGACCGCAGGTTTTGGGGGTAGATTTCCAATAGGAAACATATCGATCCAAATTTCCAATCTACCCTGAAATATTGAAATAAATCTAATATATGTTTGATCGTTTAAATCGTTTATGCAATTTTCGAACCCAAAACCCCTGTATAATATCGTACCTTTTTCTGAGAACCTTTTCTGAAACCTTAGAATAATTTTGTATTAATAAAAAAAAAAGGTACAACTAATTTACAATTTATTCTTTTACTGGTAGTACACCGATCGTTTATCATATTTTTCTTTTATTTTCATTGTGGAATATCATTTTACGAATGAAAAACGAAGGGAAAGAAACTTTCTTTTGCAGAAAGAAACCTTCGGAGTTGAGAAAATGGATAGTCGGATGATGATTGGCTAACTTAAACCGATAATAAAATTAAAATTGAACAAAAAAGATATACAAGATCTCTAATTCTCCTTTCAACTTCCCCGTTTTTCTTTTTCCTTCTTTCTTTCCTCCTTGCCTATACCTTCTTTTTCTTGGCTTACTTTTCCAACGGGATAAATGATAATAAAAATAAAAATAAAAAATAAGAAATAATATAGAATAGAAGAAAACCTGTTCTAGGCCGGGTCTTGTTGCATTGAAAAGCGGACGTCTTTCGACGTGCTCAGGTACAAGGGCGCATCCGCAAATAGGAAATTCTTGCCATTGATGAAGCACGTTCAAAGCCATGCATTCTTCTCTGTCTGAGTAAAGGTAAAGATAATAATAATAATAATAATAAAGTATAAAAGTATAAAAGTATAAAAGTATTAAAGTATAAAATCGTGATACGTCTTATTGACATCAATTCGTCCTATTATATTTCTTCGCAATTTTAACATTAATTTTAAAAATTACTTTAGTATAAATTTATTAAAGTTATTATGTTATTTAAAAAAGAACATTCGATTATATTTAATTTAATTTATCGATAAATAACTCGTTTTAACATTTTAATTGATCTGCATAAATTTTATATAGAAGTTAGTAAGAACAATTGTATTTATATTGTTATCGTTAAAATTCATTACTTGTTTCATTGTTCGTAATTGTAATTTTAATTTTAAAAATTACCTTATATTTTACCTTATTTTAAAAAATTATTTAAATAATACATTAGATCGTATCCAATTTAATTTATCGATACATCACTCGTTTAACATTTTAATTGATCTGCCTGAATTTCCTTATAGAAGGGAAGTTTGTAATTGTTCACGTTAAAATTATTTACCTGTTTCATTGTTAACGTAGAAACGAAAAGGAAACTTTCGTTTAGCGATACGAACTTCTTCCTTATTGTATACAGGTAAAGGTAAATTGTTCTTCTTACAAAGAAAATCAAGAATTTGAGTTGGTTTCTCGCGATCTCTCCAAACGTTATAACCAATGGTTTCATAAGTTCTCGCCAATCCGCAGTTGGCTCGATGTCTACTGTAGAATCTGTTTTCAATATCGATTTTAGTTTCACCGATTAAATCGTCCGTGGTAGTTGCGTCGTGATCCCAAACTTGAATGGAGAGCATGTAATCTCTAGGGAAGGTAGCTTCCATCTCAAAAACTCTGAAATTATTCAAGCGAATCTTGATAAAATCTAAAGCAAACATATTTTGTATAGTCTTAGTTTTAAAAAAAAGGAAAGATTTTATGCTTGAGGTAACTTTCTAAATATTCCTAGAAATTTTACTTTAATTTTTTATACGAATACATATATATATATGCCAATGAATAAAGGTCAAAATATATATTATAAATATAATATTTATTATATATTAATTATATAATATATTATAACATTTTATTATTATATTAAACAGTAAAATATATACTGTAATAATATTATATAAAAAAAATTATATAAAAAATATATATATAATTTTATATTAATAAAATTATATATAAAAATATATAATATATATTTTTACTTTTTTATTCCTTGGAGCATTTCGTAATTAATGAAAATGAAATTAAATTGGAAAGATAGTATTTAATAAAGTTAAGTAAAAATTTAATCAATTAAATTCTCTCTACCCTACTATATTTAAAACTCTTTCTAATAATTATAATTTTTTTTTCTACCTGCCGAAAGTAGGATTAAGTTGATTAGGTATATGATTTTTTCTGTCATTTATAAATATTTTTCCTAATTTTATACGAAGATACGGATCAGATTTTCCACCTAATGGATCTTTAGGATGTAAATTAATTCCTATAGAAATAAAATTATAAATATATATTTAATATTATTATTATCTGATTTGATTTCTTTTCTTTTTTTTTTTTTTTTTGACTTTTCAATGATTACCTTTTACAACGTAAACTCTAACTAAAAGTTTAACCGATTCCTGAGGTGGATAATCATCGCATAAACCATTAATGGCATTTCTACCGTGTCTCGTCTTGCAAGATAAATTTTCTGGATGTGGCCAACGATACACGGAAATGTGTCCCTGTTAAATGAAAAATTACTTTTCGAATGTTAAAAAATGAACCATTTTTTTTTTTCTTCTATTTTCTATTTCATAGGTGAAAGTGTGTGTCCCGGTGTTATTTCCCTGTGAGATAAATCGTTCCGCGTTTGCTCGCCTTAATTTATCACTCGTTTTTTATTTCGTAAATAAAAATCCACCCGAAGGGAGGGTGGGGGGTAGTGTTAGGAAAAATTCGTATTTTAATAATCTCTTCTAAACGTAATCTATATTATTCTTTTGATAAATGATCATAATGATCGATCTTGATACAAAAATTCCCGTTATTATCGATATAAAAACAAAAACCAAAAAAAACTTATACACACATGATTGATAGACGTGAAACAATAGATAAATCAAGTACGTGTATTGTTGATCGATCATAATTAAAATCTTAAACAATCATGTGTTACTTTTTCTGTTTATAATATATTTATCATAATTATGTAAAAGTGTATTTTCAATGAAATAACTAAAATTCTGAATTTTTCTACAAGATCATCAATGTGTTGTTGATCAATCATAATTCAAATCTTAAAC